AAAATGCTTTAACCTTTTTACAAGTCCACCATATATAATAGTATGTAGCATCAGCACAATCACATCTCCATCATTTAAGTTGTAAATTCGGATACATACAGGCCGGGGTTTTTTAGGATCTAAATGCCATCTATAAAACATCTTATAAAAGTTTTCTCTCAAATTTTGGGCTTGTGTAAACTTTACATTCCTTACCCAAATCTTTTCCCATGCATCCAACATTATTGGTTCTTCAAAATTTTGTGCCCACTTTATCGTATAGTCTTTAACTAATTCTGTTTCCGTACTATGGATTCACTTTTAAATACATACTTATAATGTGTGAAATGGTAGATTACTTATTATATTTTTCTCTTTCGGTTTTCAGGCTTCAAAGTTTATTCCTGATATTTGTGTTATTAGAGCAGTGCAAAAAATTGTATGGGCTTCTGGATGTGGATCAGTACAACTGGTATTCAGCTCAAATGAAGATATTAGTAAAATTTATGAAAAGGTAAGAAAACTGAACCAGCATTCAGTTCTAATTTGTTTTAATAAGATGAACCATATTATTGGTGTACTTGTTAGTATATCTTAGTAGAAAAAATGTTTTTACAATTATTCAAAGAATATTTAAGTAACTTTGCAATTTCATACCTCTGCATATAAAATTAAGGCTGTTGCTTTTATCACAAAATTGCTTAATTCATTATTTCTTTGTGTTTTAGTAAATCTGTAGATCAGAGGTATCAAACTCAAATTTCATTGAGCATCAGCATTATGGTTGCCCTCAAAGGGCCAGGAGGGCGTGGCTGAGTGGGTGTGGCCGGCTCAACATCACTTATGTCAAGGAGCACCGGCAAGGGGGGCAGGCAAGACTAGGAGGGGGATCTGAAGGTCTCCAGGGGTGGAAAGAGAAATCAGGGTGAGCACCAAAGCCTCGTCCACCAGAGGAGCCTCGCCCATACCCTGGACAAGAGGCTAAAGCTGGAGGGCTTGCTATTTGAATCTCTTGTCTGCAGAAGTACTTTCCATGTTCCAGGCTCCAAACATCTTTTCTGATTGTTAAACCTATTTGAAATCTAATTGGTGTAACTACATTTCTTCAGCTTTTTTTATTTGTACTTTCCACCAGCTTTTTAGATTTGGAATGTAATATCCATTGTACAACTTTATAAAAAAGATGGAGTCACTGGTAAGGTTGTACTCTGTGGTTACCTTGTAATTGTAAGGCTAGGAGGCATGTTCTTCGTTTATCTTTCATTCATATAAGCAATCCTTACTAGTGGCAATAGTCTTTGGAAGACTATTCCCACAAAGACGGTGGGACAAAAGTTGAATCCGCGGATGGGGAGACAGGAGTACAGGGTGGCACAAACTAAGCATTGGCGGGAGCTGGCTCCAAGTTGCCCTCTCCACCATGTGGCAGAGTTGGAGAGGCGAATGTGGCATCTGGGATGGTGCCACTTTGCTGGGACAGTCTCTCACCGTCATGCTAGAGAAAATTCACACCTTCAGAGAGGCAGGCGCCCAGCAACGCATGATTCACCCGATGGAGAAGGAACAGTGCATCCCACGCCCTAGGGCGTGGGGCCAATGCAATGTGATGTGGGGGTGGCTTCTCACCATTTTCAGGGCCAGATCTAAACCCATCACAGGGGGGATTTGGCCCACAGGCCTTAAGTTTGACTGTCTGCTGTAGATGCACATAAAATCTGTATTTATATGCATATCTCACATGACATTTATGTTTTCCGGTCGGATTTCTTTTATGCTGTGAAATATTTGGAAGAAATATTTTACTTTTGTAAAATATTAATTGAAATAATTTTAATTAAAAGCAGATATTTACCTGTTGTTGTATCATCTGTGCCCTATGCTACATCTGAAAATAAATATAATTGGCCTTAAATGTTTATTATTTTTACTAAAACTAAAATAATAATTTGATCATATAATTGTATAATTTCAGAAAAGAAGTATGGCTGCTGCTTGTGTTGGATTTAGGTTAAATTCTGTTGCTTGAGTTTTTGTAGTAAATCTTAAAGATAGAGTATTGTTAATTTCTCCTCTGAACGTGAATGATTATGGAAAGAAGGTATTCCTTTGAGAAACCTATTTATCTAATAATTATTTATCCAGATAATTAATTAAAACCTCTTCTCAAAATATTTGATTCTTGACAAAGTGCTAAAATTAGATTCAGATAATCATAAGTAGGCAACATGACCAAGGGTTGTATTTACTTCCCTCCCTTGTGCAATTTTCATTATCACCAATCCCTTGTGTGTAATTTGAATTCCTATGAAATCTATTTCAACTCAGCATAGTTAGATTATTGTTTCACAGTATGCTTTATCAGCTCTTCAAATCTTTAATTCCATTTTCAGATTTGATTTTAGTATACCATTAAAGTTTGTGATGTTAAGTACCGTATATTTGGAGTATAAGACGCACCGGAGTATAAGAAGCACCAAGGTTTTGAAGAGGTTTCCCAAAAATGTGTAAGAGTGCTCCTGGCAGTGGGGGCAAAAACGAGCAAAAAACCAGCCCGTTTTTCGTCAAAAAAGGGGCATGGATAACCTTTAGGAGGCTTATAGAGTGCTCCTGGGGGCGGGGAACCAAAAATGAGCAAAAAAACCAGCCCGTTTTTCGTCAAAAAAAGGTCATGCATAGCTTTATGGAGGCTTATAGAGTGTTGCGGGGGGGGGGGTAAAATTGAGCAAAAATGGCCCATTTTTTGCTCATTTTTGCCCTCCCCAGTCCTCAGGAGCTCTCTGAAAGTCTCCATAAGGCTATGCACGGCCATTGTGGTGAAGGGGGCGGGGTTCTGGGAGGCAAAAAATGTTGTATTCAGTGTATAAGGCACATCCAGATTTTCAGCCTCTTGTGGAAAAAAGGTGCATCTTATACTCTGAAAAATATGGTAGTATGCGTAACTTCCTTGGGCTTGAAGGAACAATTAAGAACGTAGTTTATCCCCCTTTATCATATATGCTCTGCTGATTATTTCTGATTTATTTTATAGACAAATGCAGGTAATGAACCAGATTCAGAAGATGAACAAGTTTGCTGTGAAGCACTTGAAGCAATGACGCTTTGTTTTGCTTTAATTCCAACTGCACTGGATGCATTAAGTAAAGAAAAGGCATGGCAAACATTTATCATTGATTTGTTACTGCATTGTCACAGCAAGTAAGTGATTTTAATATTTCATTTGTTTTATCAATTGCTCAGTAGTATCCTTGAGGACAGGCAGAATGACAAAAATGACATTCATCACATATATACATGCAAAAGAGTACTGTGGCATGATTCTGATAAAAGCAAGCTCATTAGATACCCATGCCTCTAGAAGCAATTGCAGGTGGTCAGTATAGTAAATAATGTAGAACTATTGGACTGTAATTTGGATTTTATTTTATTATATTTTTGTTTTATTACTGGGTTCTAACTACTGCAGTATTATGGTAGATTTTTATTTATATGCTGCTGAGGTGGACAATGTTCCTTTCCTTATTGGATTGGATTGGATTTATTCAATTTGTATGCCGCACTATTCCCGAGAGACTCAGGGCGGCTAACAATCAGAGGAAGGGGGGATACAAAATAGAAAATATCTCTGATATTTAATAACTTTTTATATTAGTCACACAGCCAGCCAAAATATTCCTGGGATAGGCAGATGGTGATAGTGCTGGTGATGGTGGTGAAAAAGAAGAAGAAAGGGAGCTCTTGAGTATGAATAGGTATAACACTTGTGATAGACTTGCTTTGAATGTTTCATCAGTAGAAGCAGTTTTATTTTTCCAGAAGGGAGAGGATGATTGCAGCCCCCCACGTTATCTTAGTCAGCTCCAGAGGTTTCTCTAATGATCTAGATCAGATTTGATGAGTATATAAAGGATATAATGGATTGCACCAAGGACACAAGAGAGTAACAATGTATTATCCTTTAAATAATTTTAAGATTAGTTTTATTTAAAATATGTGTATTAATTTCTCTTTTTTCTGCTTGAAATTTTTAGAACTGTTCGGCAAATGGCACAGGAGCAGTTCTTCTTAATGGCTACCCGATGTTGTATGGGACAACGACCTCTTCTTTTTTTTATAACTCTGTTATTTACTGTGTTAGGGGTAAGACATTTTAAACTTTATCATTTGTATATATATTCCAATATCATAGGAAATAATACATATTTAATTTTAGTTACCATACTTCCATACTTTTTCTCAATATACATTAACAAATCAATATATGAAAAGGCTTTATTCAAAAAATGCAGATTTTCTTCCATTCTGTCTTGTAAATTGCCTTCTGAAGATGTACACTGTATGATAAACCCGTAAATGGACAGTTTCATGCAAATTATATTATGATTATATATTAGACATCTATGGGTAATTTGCTGTGATGCTGGTACAGTTTTACTTAGAGCAGCCCTTCAATCTTTTTGTCTTTAATATTAAACTTCTGTTTCAATATGATTCAAATTTTCATTATATTAGAAATGTGTCTATTTCATTAGAATCAATATGTTGATGTTTGTTGAAATATGCTTACAATATTTTAATTAGTATATTGTTTAAAGATGTAATATTAGTATAAAATAAATAGAACATAAAATGCAACTACTGAAAATAAGATCCCAAATTTACTGTATTAATTATTACTAGTGAACATTTTGACTGCTTCATTATATTCATTTGTATTAAATGCTGGGCTGTGATTTTCAGAACGGATTCACATAAAGCATAGAAAAAGCTATTCTAAAATTAACTATTGACAAAAATTGACAAAACAACAATTTTCATGTACTCCCACTTTTGTCTATATTAAACATATTGAAGGACTTCAAACTCCTACTCCTCATTTAGTGACAAATTGGGATCAGCAACTTGGTCATTAAGAGAAGTGATTGCTAAGTGAAACTTACTCTGGTTATAATCAGCTTTCCTTCACACACATACAAAGCTTGTACATGCAAGGATTTGATCATAAAGTTACTTTTTCCTCACTGTTGTACAATTGCTAAATGAGGCAGTCACTAAGCAAGAACTACTTGTACATATTTCCTTCTAGACTTCTTTTGATCTTGATTGCTCTTTTTTGGATATGCTGCACTTTGTCCATGGCCTTCATAAAATATCATAATGTGACTTAATATTGCAGGGGTCATCTGACCTGAACAAAATAGAGAGGAACAATGGCCTATTGTATGATTTATTAACGTGGTTATTTTACTAATATACTGGTAAAGAAGCTTGTTGAATACATGTGGTCTGTTTTCCAAATAATGATTTTACTGAACTCTGATGGATTGTACAGTCAAAAGGAAGTACTTCCGTTATTTATTTATTTATTTATTTATTTATTTATTTATTTATTTATTTCATTTTATTTAACATTTATAGGCCGCCCTTTTCCCTAAGGGGACTCAGGGCGGCTTACAATTAATGGGAAGGGAGTGTAGGACAAAACACAAGAAGAAAAAAAATGTGAATAAAAAAAATAAACCGATAAAACACAACATTCATTCAACATTCGGGTGGGGCGAGATTAGGGTCTTATCCCCAGGCCTGACGGGATAGCCAGATCTTAAGGGCTGTGCGGAAGGTCTGGACGGTGGTGAGGGTACGAATCTCCACGGGGAGATCATTCCAAAGCGTCGGAGCTGCAACTGAGAAGGCTCTCCTCCGCGTAGTCGCCAGTCGGCACTGACTGGCGGATGGAATTTAAAGCAATAAATCAAGATATTTGTAGGAGCATGAAATGTGCTTTGAATTGGAACTTTAGGTCACATCCAGAAATTATACAACTACATTTTTTTCATGTACCAAGATATCCCTGCATCACATACTAAGGAATATTTCCAAAGAGTTAGGATAAATTTTGAAAACTATCTAGAATATGATAGAAAGCATGTGGTACTAGAAGAACAATTTGAAAATATAGTATTTCTAACAGTGCAGACTTTCATTATATAGCATGTGGATATAGCACGTGTCTATGTATGTGTACACTTTTGAGAGCAGGCTTATTTAATGGAATCTTGCTTATCAGGAGGTCTGAACTGGACATAGACTTTAAGAAATATTCTGTATTGTGAGTATTAATGAAAGTATATTTTCAACTATGTTGATATTTTGTTTCAGAGTACTGCACGAGAACGTGCTAAACATTCAGGAGATTACTTTACTCTGTTAAGACATCTTCTAAATTATGCTTACAATAGTAATATTAATGTGCCCAATGCTGAAGTTCTGCTTAATAATGAAATTGATTGGCTTAAAAGGATCAGGGTAAGTTGTATTCCTGTTATTTTGTCATCGCTTGTAATTTGTTTTAAATTTAAGTGTTAATTGCCTTGGATCCAAATATGTAAAATAAAAAATGGAATAATTATAGTAAATAATCATTTCCCTTCAAATGTTGTTTGAAAATTCATGTGTCTGAATATTCTCCTTCTTTAGGATGAAGTGAAAAGGACAGGAGAAACAGGTGTAGAGGAAACTATTCTAGAAGGTCATCTTGGAGTTACCAAAGAATTGTTGGCATTCCAAACTCCTGAAAAAAAATACCACATTGGTTGTGAAAAAGGTGGTGCTAATCTTATCAAAGTAAGTTACTGCTGTACAAAACGTTCTAAAATTATAAAATAGCAAAGTGAAAAATATATAAATTATAATTTATAATTAATGTTAGCATATTTACAAAATACATAATGATAATTTAAATTAATTGAATGTTTGAATCTTCAAAATATGTAGAAGATCTATATGTAAATCACAGCAAAATTTCTGTTGAGAGAAGGAAGGGAAAAGCTTTTTATCTTTTCTTAATTTTTATAAAATTCTAAAAGTAAGTCATTCAATAAAGAGTCCTTTATGTAACTGGGGTAAATGTAACATGATGCACCAAATTTTTAAAAAAAATCTCATTTCATCTTAAGCATGCTAGAATCCTAACTAAAATAAGAATGGGACAAGAAATCTGTGATCAAATTAAGGGCAATTTTCTCTGTGAAAATTAGGGCAAATATCCCTGCCTGGAAATCTTTTATTCAAATAACTGTTGTTATTATCTGGCCTCTCAGCTGTGGCTAAATTGGTTTGATAAACTATTTATTAACAAACACCCTGGCATTTTTCGTATATATTTTTAAATAATGTACAGTCTTCTGAATTATGGTCACATAATGGAGTTATGGGATTTAGGCTTTCTTGGAGGTAAGCAATCCTCTCTTCTAAAAATCTAAGACAGTGTGACATTAAGTGATGTTACTTCTGATCTGGATAGTTCCTAAATTAATAACAGATATTTTATTTACTATTTTTCAGGAATTAATAGATGATTTTATCTTTCCCGCATCAAATGTTTACTTGCAATACATGAGAAATGGAGAATTACCCGCTGAGCAGGCAATACCGGTCTGTAGTTCCCCAGCTACCATTAATGCTGGATTTGAGCTGTTAGTAGCCTTAGCAGTGGGCTGTGTCCGTAACCTCAAACAAATAGTAGATACTTTGACTGAAATGTACTATATAGGCACTGCAATAACTAGTACGTATTATTTCATATTTTAACATTTTTCTATTAATTTTAATGTGGACAACTTCATATACTTTTATATATTTTCATAATTTATTTGGGGGAAATGTTGGTTTGGAGAATATTAGGCCTATTTCTCTGGATTGTAGTCACTGAGCATTTAAAAAAATTATACAGAAGATTGTTGGTGTTGAATGAGAAACAAAATATGCTGTTTCTTGCTTAAATCCAAAACTAACCTTTTTCTTTGAGATGACTGCTGGGTAGTATAATCATACTTCCTAAAAATAGTAGGTAGAGGTTAAATCTGGTTAGGACTGGAAGGTACTGTATTCTTAGAGGCTTCAGTTCTACATTGTTACATTAGAGATTCTTTGAAGACTATCAGTGACTGGTTGAAGCGACTTGAATAATTGCAGTTGGAAAAGGAAACATCAAAGTATTATTAGTTCCCTGTCCTTAAGAAACATTAATTTTGGGATCCTGTCCCAAGTCTTTATTAAGTTTTGGCAAATTAATGCATTGTTTTACAAATTAGCATTTTTTCAAGTCATCTTAAATCATCTTAAAATAACTTGCAGATAAATTATTTAAAGGGGGTGTACTATATAGTCTTGTGCTTCGTTTGACTGTAGATTTTATTTTATCTATTTGTGCTTAGGAAAAGATGCTGAGGAATATAATTCCTAATTTACACATTTTCATGCAAAATGCAAATGTAAAATGGAATTGCATTTGAAATAAACTTATTTTATGAATACGTTTTGCATATTCATTAATTGCACTAGCAATTAGCCTACTAGTATATTTTGAGTTATAAGCTGTTAATGGTTTAATAGATTTAATTTGTCCTAGCTTGTGAGGCACTAACAGAATGGGAATATCTGCCACCTGTTGGACCACGACCACCAAAGGGATTTGTAGGACTTAAAAATGCTGGAGCCACTTGTTACATGAATTCTGTTATTCAGCAACTATATATGATTCCTGCCATCAGAAATGGAATTCTTGCAATTGATGGAACAGGCAGTGATGTAGATGATGACATGTCTGGAGATGAGAAACAAGATGAGGTAATGCTGCATTTTGCTTAGTATATGATACTGTATCCAATTGTGCTTCCTTTGTTCTTTAAGTCTGATTATTAAGGGCTTTTATTCTGAATATATATTATACATGCACGCTTCATAATAAGTTTTTAACTACCAACAATTTAAAAAATGCATAGAAGCTACATTCTATGATTTATGTTAGTTCTTAGTAATATCAGCAATTTTAAAAGCAGATATCCTGTGATACAAGTTTGATGTTGTTTTCTCACTTTCTCAAGTACATTAAATGTGGCCTATCTTTTTAAACTCTTCTTATCATTATGCTCAAACAATTTGTCTGCTCTTTAAAATACTTTCAATGTTCTCTCTTTACAAACAGTGATTTTTTAAATTTGACATCTTGAATGATACCTATACATTTTTTGATACAATCTTTGAGCAATCATTTCCTGAATTGTAAGCTACATTAATGTTTCAAAATATGATGTAAGTTATTGAATGGCATTCAATACAGTATGGACACAACACATTTATGGATGTAAATCTGATTATAAAAAAGATAAAAAGGGAAAGATACTGGAATGATGAAGGAGCATGATTTTGATCATGGAAAAATATAAAAAGACATAGTTAAGAAAATGTACAGTGATGAGCTATGAACCCTTGTCATCCCCCTCCCATGCTTTTGCTTGAAAGGAGGAGAAGAGAAGTTTAATTACAGTTTGTGGCAAACCATACTTACCTTTCAAACCAGTCAACTGTTTGATCTTGATTTCAGGGATCAATATTTTAGCAAATAGTACTTAACGAATGAGTCTGAAGCTCAGTACTTCTCATTGTATTTTGATCTGTCATTATGTCTGACATTATTATTGTCTGCAAAAAAGCATACATTGCCTATTTGCAAATTATAGTAGTGGAGCTGTTACATGGGGTGATTTCAGTAAAGTGCTAACTTCATTAGATCAAAAAATAACATTTCTTTTTCAAGTGACAGAATTTTGGATTACTTATTATTATAGAGACTATTGAAACAAGATAGGAGTGAATACATTATTTCAATGCATCAACTTGATAAGACATACAAAGTGAGAAATATGCCTTATACATCCAATATGGCACATGCTGTGTACATAAGCATAGAATCCAAAGATGTCCATAATGTACACATGTTGAATATAGTACACTTACATTGCAATGTTTTCGCAATGCTTTAGAAGTTGACATCGTCTCGAGGCTTGTAAATTAATTAGGTCAGCTCTTGGGAACTTTACATGTTTCTTTTCTGAACATATCTGTATAGATTTTCAAGAAAGGGATTGCATTGCCATTATGTCCACAAAGTCTATTTACTCATCCATCCCCAAGGATGGTTAAGTCAAATAAATTTTATTCATCTAGTCCTGCATATGAAACATAAATAATTACTCATGGGATCAGGCTGTTTTCAATTACCTAATATATTTGCATTAGCCATATAAGCTATACTTATAGAACAAAAACAAGATAGCCATAAAACAATAGATTATGCCACTTTATTTTGGTGTCTCATTTGCCAACTTGAAGCTGGAATACATTTGTTGTCTTAAATAGATGAGAAATTTAATAGGGCAAATAATTTTATACATGTATGCATGCATTCTGAATTAGTATTTTTAATGTTGCAGAAAAATGTACTTGGTTAGATATAACAGGCGCAGAATGTATTAATCTCAGGTTATTTAATTGATGAAGGGTTAATGCCCTTATGAGCAACCCATTATCATGGTACAACCTAGGAGCTATGTCAAGTGGGTATCATATTATCCCTTGGATAAAGAGAATGCATCACTTTGAACTCTGGCCTAAAAGAATCAATATTAAATTGGTAATGAATAGTACTAGGAGTAGGGATTTCACTGATTAGCACTTATATCATGTCTACCTTTCATTCATTCAAAATTCATTAGCCCATTCAAGATAAACAAATGTACTCATCAGTTACACCGTTAGATTACACAGTGTTTCAAAGAGTGCTGTCACAAAGTTGTAATCTGCTTTTTGGAGGAATGCTATTTGATTTGATTTGATTTTATTGACATTTGTAGGCCGCCCTTTT